GTCCGGCATACTTGCGTCGAATCCCGACATCTTGCACGATCAAATTCCGATCGCACGTGTCGAAAACCTCGTACTTGAATAGTTTCGTTTGGAACGTAAAAACTCATATTTCGTCATATCCCAACATGTACAAACCTTGAGTCTGTTTGATATTGAAAGTGTGAAACCAACATTGGTATTGGTGACTAATGACAGCAATCCTGATAAGGAGATCAAGAATGAAGAAAGAAGAACTAATTATTTGGCTGATTGAAAGGATTGGAAGGCCAGGAAGAACGCGTTTGATAACAATAAACGCAATGTCTATGGAATGATTATGAAGATGTGCACCGATCACATGAGCTTGAGCGAGAAGCTGACTTTGATAACAAACTGTTCAATGATCCTGTGGAGTTATTGATGCGGATCAAGAAATTTATGACGACTACTGTTGATTCAGAATGGGAATATTTTGGTCTGTGGAAGACAATGAGCAATCTGATTAATTGCCATCAAAAGGAGAAGGAAAACATTGCGGATTTTCGTAAACGATTTGAAGAAAGGGCGAAGGCATTGCAAGCTTTGCTTGGTGATGATTTTTTGGACAAATTTACTGAGAAGAGTCAGGAATGTGATTTATTGGGAAGCGATGCTGAACGATCGCAACATAAGAAGGAATCATGGGAAAGATTCATGGCCAACGGATTTCTGTATAATTCCGATAGAGCCAAGTATCAATCAAGAATTAATGGAATGACGGCGCAGTACACGTTGAAGCATCTGGATTTCAAACAACGTTGTACATTTCCAACTACTTTGGAAAATGCTGCTGATGTTTTGAATCAACACAAGCACGATAATAGGAAGAAGAATTCGAATGGAGGAAATTCGAATGGACAAGGCAAACAAAACAAGTCAAACAACAATCAAAATGACGGAGCTCAGTTTTCGCAACAACAAACTTGAGCGTGTTTTGTGTGCGGATCAAAAGATCATGTCGCACCTCAATGTGCAGACAAATTGAAGCCGCGGGAAAAATGGAAAAACTCGGACAAATATAGGGATTATTTGGACGCGAATGGTCGTGGTAATCAACAAAATATGCGAAAATGCAACGCGTGATGATAATGAATCGAGTGATTCAAATACTCAATGGAACTATGGACGTTCCAACAATGGATCCCATGGAGGACAATTTATTCAACGAGGACATACGGATGATGATTCGAGACCACAAGGGATAATGTTATTCCAACTCAACAACTATCGTGGTATCCACTTGGACAGTGGATCTACTTTTCATTTGCGAACAAGTGAACATGACTTTAAGGAAGGAACTCTGCAAGGAATTGATGGAGGATTTCATTATACCTCTAATATACAGGAAAGAAGACTTTATCGAGAAGGCATCAACAAAGTATTTGATTCTGTGTGTAAGCTTGACACACGAGCTAGCGACAACATCAACAGTTTGTCGAACATGGTAAAAGATGGATTTGATGTATTTATGGACACAAAGAGAGAGAACAGCTTCTTTGTGACTAGAAACGGGATTACATGGCGATTTGGACATCGCAATGGATTATATACTTTGGTTGACGAACCTGCTATGGTAACAGCAATGTTCCATGACCATGCACGTGGACTTGATAATAATGATGTGCAAGGGTACTGTGCTCTACAGAGTGTGGAGAAGAACAAAGAGGGTTTCACAAACAAACAAGTGAAACGAGCAAATGTTGCACAAAGTGGCTATCATATGATGGGGGCACCTGGTGCAGAACTATTCAAGTTGGCGATTCG